CACAAAGTCATTCCTTGAAGATGACCAGATGTTTATATTAAAATACAAGTAGCTCTAGGAACTACAGTATGAAAATAGTGGCCATGTGTGATAAATAAACCAATTCACAGTCCTTGAAAAGGAACTATAACTTTCCAGTAAATGTAGTAATTTTTCTAATTCTTCCAAGAAGAAGTAGTCATCTAGATTGTTCAGATGCAATGGATCTGACAATTTTTTTCTCATATATATATAACGCTTATATACACAAGAAGAAAAGAGCAAGAAATTCAGGAAATCCTCAGCTTGCTACTAGTGTGCCCTCGCATTCCTAAGAACTATTTTTGGGTTTTCCCTTAGGAATAGCTAGAACTTGTTGAGCTGGGAAAGACTTCTTGGAACAGATCTTTGGTTTTGTCTTTTCTGCTTGAGCGCCTCTTGTTGATGTTGGAATAGCTACTATTAGCTGGTTGGTGATTCAGAGAACGAGGCAAGTCAGTCCTATAAAATCAGCTTCTCCACAGTATTTGGAAAAAAACTGTTGCAGCAAGCTTGTGAGAATGTAGGATGAACCATGGTTAGGACTACACCAATAGGTCTGTCTGACTTTATTCTGGATGTTGCTACCTGCAGATTACTCGAGACGTACAGATAACTCGAGACATACCAAAATATTGGTGAGGAGGATACAAATGCTCTCCCTTCTGTCTCCATATAGCCCCAAACACCCCATGTAGTTCTGAGATATCTCAATACATACCTCAATAAATCAGAATTCTTAGCTGTAAAAGTATTTGTTTCAATAAAAAATTTTGTATTTAGGGATACCATGTGCAGATCAGCTAACAACCTGCAGGTACATTGGTAGGGTCTTTGTGCAAAAGGTATCTGAGACTGTTTGAGGAGTTTTCAGACTGTGATCAGGTTCGGCACAGCTCATTTTGATACGGACTTGGAATATTCACAGCATTTCTCATATGCATGGTTTGCTCTTCAGTGGGGAAAAAAAAGCAGTGTCATTTGAACTCCTGTCTGCATTTGTTCCCAACGCTGTCCTGTTGTTTTTTTTCAGTGATATTTTAAACACTCCTATAGGGTGGCAGGCTTTTCAAAACATCTGCAAGTACTGCTTATGTATTTTAAAAGATGTGTTGAAGGAATGAATGGAATGACTGGCATCTGTATTAGCTTGACACTGTACCACTTGTTACCTCTTAGAAACTACAGGAAAATTCTGAGAAAGGACCTTCATCGCAAATTAAATGTGAAAGCGTGTAAGGCTTAATGGAGCTGCTTGTGACATGGTGAAGAAAATCACGTGTACTCTTCAAAAGGATTGAGTTTGCTCCCTGTTTTGGTGGTGTTTTTTACCTACTCCAGACCGGACATCTATCAATCTATGGAGGGTTTTTCCCCTCCTAATTGCAAAAAAGAAAGGAACAGCGAACTAGTCACTGAGATACTTTGGAGAAGCTTTGGACTTTCAAGCAAGTTCAAGGCAATACGCATTTAATTTCCATTGCATATATGAAAATTAAATTATAGCATTTCTCCCATTCTTTTTTGTGAACAGCATTTCTCCCATTCTTTTGTGTGTATGCCATGTTTGGTTTAATGGAGAAATGAGAAAAGAAAATAGAATCTTTTTTGGAAACTGGGTACTAATGCAGTAACATTAAAGGCAGGCACATTGTTGTCAGCCAGTTTGCATATTTATTTGCTTTTACAAATGGTTGGCTTGGAGTCAGCAGTTAATGGAATGAGAATGATGTTCCTGTACAGATCATTTCCTGAGAAACATTTTCAATTACAAACATATCTCTGCTTTTCTTTCCTCATTTGTTATGTCTTGGAGAATAAATGGGGAGTAGCATTTACAACTTAAGGTTTATGTTCTGAAGACAATTGTAACAATGATCCCCACATAAAAAGGCCCCTTTGTAGTTGCAGACATATGTTTATGATGTTTTGTGCTGTGAATATCAAATTTCTGGTGGACGCTGTGTCACACTCTGCAAACTTGTAAACATCTATAAATCCATTGGATCATTTTAGTACCATGTGTAATGCAGATTTATTGTCTTTTGTGTGGATTTCTTTTGTTTCGGAGTTAAAGCTGAGCTGCCAAAATCCATATTGGATGAATTATGTATTCAAGAAAATTAGTACCATTTTAGATTAATATTTTCTTTTCCCTTTGTGGACTTATAAGATGCACACACACAAGCATTAGAAAACATTTTGGATGGATGGCCCCGAAAGCAATTGCATAAGTTTGCTTGACTAAGTAGTATCATTCTGTAAAAGCTTAAACTAGGACTTTTTGAAAATGCTTTTGCTGTTTTTTCTCTCATTCTCTGACCATCTTAGGTAATTTAGATCTCTTCTCACATTTGCCACTACAAATTCAGAATTACTCCACTGGAATTATATCAGGGTATAAAACTGGAGTGTGTGAGGGAGAATAGGAATCACACTGAGACAGTGAGTAGATATAACTCAGCATAAATCCACTGAAATCTGTGCAGTTACAGTCATTTACACTCAAGTCTGCATTGCAGACTATCGAGTCAGTAGAAGTAAAGCTGCTCTTGTGCACAAGTGGTTACAAAAGCAAGGCGTCAAGGTCATGAGCATTTATCAGAAATTTGCACCCAGTAAAGAGAATATGAAATCAAAACCAATTCATCTAAATTTGGCTGAACTAAATTGAGTGGATATCTCTGTACAAGAGCAGGAAAGACATTGAAAATCAGGAGTTTTTTAAACTGGCTGTAATTTCTGGCTACATATGTAAACATATGTAGCATATGCATGCATGTTTGAATGTGGGTGTATATACAAATATCCAGTGTTACTCTGGCAATGTGATGTCCTCAGCTAGCCTTCCAAGTTGTGCTTGTTCCAGGAAAAAGTAGCTTAAGATAGAGACACGGTACATAAAGCTACTGTCTACCATAGTAGTTTATAATATCAGGTAGTTTGTCCTTTGACTTTTTATAGAAATCTTAAGCTCCTGGAGTCATATGAATGTCAACAAATCTCAGCTTCCATGAAACCAAAACAAAGTATTTCCAACCTTAAAAATGGCAGAGAAGACCTTGAATAGAAAACCCTTACGTTCAAGGCAGACAGGCAGTTAAAGAACTGCAGAAGTGTGGATGTATGTATTTATGTAGGTATATGTGCATATATTTAAATTTCTGATTTTGAAAGATTGAGGTTAGAAGCATTGTGTCACTATGCTCCTTCAACATTAGAGTTCGGTTCTAGTTAATCACAGACTTTCAGAAATGATCCGTTAGTGTTGTAGGACTTGAGTAGTTTTAGCTTTGTAAGTACAGAATCAATTACATGGAAAGACATGACTGTAGCACTCAGAGGAGAGACCATTTAACACTACATCTTGCTGTATTTAATTTATGATTCTTTGAATAGATATGCTAAAATACGTCTAAACCACAGAGAGTGCATTGGGTGATGTGGCATTTCTGAGCTCAGTTAAATAATATGATGTGTTTTATTCAAATCAGAATAACATTAAACCCTGAATACTAAACGGGGCAGCAAAAAGCCTTCAGCACACAAAATAAACAAGTAAAAAACCCAAATGAAACTGTCTAATAAATACAATGTGGAGCAACAAGCTGCATGTACTAGCAGAATTAAGCCAATTTAAACCGTATGGGCAGTATTCCACTTTCAGATCTGCTCGGCGTCCAGTGGTTTCAATGGCAGTTGGATGCATGCATCAAAGGGCAAAGTCTGGCTCAGAGCACCCGTGTGGATTTGATAGCATAGGTTTATGACCTTGTAATCGTAGAGCATCTAAAACAGTAAGAACTCTATCCAGCTTAAAATAGCTGCTGTAGTTACTGTTGATACAAGCTTGTGGGCTCCCCAGTTCTGGGGCCAAATTTGGTGCTGGCATGATAGGAGGAAGTCTGTTGACAGCTGATAGCAGTGGAGTTGCACTTGATTACATCACAACAAATTTGGCATGTGGAGCTGAATCAGAAGTCTGAGCAGAAGCGTCCATCCCTTATCCAGAATTAAAACTGGAACTCTCACATTGCCAATCCACAGAGATTTGTCTGGGCCATGTGTAACTGTTGCTTTTAAGGGTCTTGCTTTAAAAGTGCATTCAGCCCCCAGTTTCACTCAGTGTGGTGACTGTGAAAAAAAAAAAACCATGAAGGACTGGATTTCCCTCTGACGTCCAAAAGGATAAAGTCCCTAATCATGCCAATATAAGCATGATGAGAACAAGCCCCATGGTAGCCAACGCACTGGGCTATGTCTGGGCCACAGCAGAGGGTGAGAACAGAAAATTGCTTTAAACTCCAATTGCTGGGGTTGTCTAGTGGCCAAGCATGCCCAGTGTCAGGCAGACAATTCTGTGGATATCGTCCTTCAGAGGAACTGCCACAGGTCCCAGCAGACTGGTCGGGCCCCTGGCAACTGGTGTGGTATAGGTGAAGTGCTGCAGCTATGTCCCCTCCTCCCTTCCTGGATCTTTACACTGTAAGACTCTGCATGGAGGTCTTACTGATACTTCAAAGTATTTCAAGAAATTAGATGATGTTATTTTTATTTCAGCTGTTGCAAAAATTGTCCCAAACCTGTGTGCTTTGTTTTTATTAAAATACTAAATTGCCAAAGTAATTTTCATGAAAATTAATTAAAAGAAATTAATGAAAAGCAGCTGAAAAATGGTTTCCTTTGCTGCAACTGTGGTATGCAAACCTCAGTCACATTTTTGTCGTTCCTCTATGAACACCTAAGTGTAGAATAGTGGTTTGTCATGGAACTTTTTTGATGGAAATTCTTAGAAAGTGAGGCTAAACTACATAATACATTTTCTCTCCCTTTGCATACAACTTGATATAATGCATGTGTTCTTACCTGCTGCTTTTAATAGTATTATCTGTAGTTAAATCTGTTCTCTTCAGTACTGGGAAAGAAATTAAAAAAGATGCTATCAGGCTTAGAGTTTCTCCATCATGTTTTTCTGCCTATAGGGGACAGGAGGGCAGGAGAAGTCTTTTATTACGGGACTAATACCAACCTTGGGTTGTGCACTACAGAATGCAGTGGCTGAGGAGGAGCTGTCCTCTCGGGCAAACTGGATCCATCTGGGATCTTTGGATCATCCGGAGGTGTGTTGGTTAGGCTCTGCAGGTGTGAGAAATGTGTACAATTCAGGTGAGCTGCCTGGGGGAACAAGACCACCTCTTGTGTGTGTATACCTGCATACATCAAAGCAGAACTTATCCCTTGCTAATAAATGCAATGCATTTTAGAACAGATCAATGTATTAGTTTCTCATATATATTTATTTTATTTGTATTTGATGTTCCCTTTCCATGCAAAGATATGGTGGGTTTTTGTTTGTTTTCTCTTATTTTCAGAAAGTCTGATAACATGAAGGGACCTCAAAGATCATCTAGTTCCAACCCCCCTGCTGCGGGCAGGGACACCCTCCACTAGACCACGTTGCCCAAAGCCCCATCCAACCTGGCCTTGAACACTTCCAGGGATGGGGCCTCCACAACCTCTCTCAGCAACCTGTTCCAGTGCCTCACCACTCTAACAGTAAAGAATTTCTTTCTAACATCTAATCTAAATCGACCCTCCTTCAGCTGAAACCCATTACCCCTTGTCCTGTCACTACACTCCCTGGTAAACAGTCCCTCACCATCTTTCCTGTAGGCCCCTTCAGGTACTGGAAGGCCGCAATTAGATCTCCCCGGAGCTGCCTTTTCTCTAGGCTGAACAACCCCAACTCTCTCAGCCTGTCCTCATAGGAGAGGTGCTCCAGCCCTCTGATCAGCTTCGTGGCCCTCCTCCGGGCTCGCTCCAACCCTAACCATTCTATGATGAAGGCCATGTAGAATGTAATAGTTGTGCATATTGGAGGACATATATAGGGAGGTTCAGTGGGCCTTGTAAAGAATGCCATACAAAACATTCAGCCTTGAAAGGTCGACTCAGTCTCCCTGCAGAAGTGTCAGCAAGTTCTGCCAGTGGGTCACTCCCTGGAGAGGGGAGCCAAAAGCTTTCCCCACTGTCCTTCACTAGGAAAATGAGCTGACTGCTTCCACCAGTGTGTCTTGCCCAAGCAGAGCATCCAGCTCTGCTCAGTGCAGAGTGGAAAGCTCAGTGGAGCCGGTTGGCTTGAACAGATTTTATTTACTATGCTCCCTCTTGAGATTGATGTGAAAAAAATGTTTTCTGCCTAGGAATCTTTGTGTGGAAGTCCTCCATGAACTAAACATTTCAGAACGGAAGGACCTCCACATGGAAGTTTTCTATCCAATGACATTTTTATGCCCATAACCATTTTGAACCAAAATGGGAAAAAAAGAAAAAAAAATCAAAGAGGTTAATAAAACCAACAATAATTTTCTCTAAGGAGTGCTAACAGTTCAAAAAATGGCCATTAAGTGTAAACAGTTCCTGAGATTGTACATGCTAGACCAAATTCATCCTTGTTATAACTCCTCAGAACTCAGTGAAGTTACATGAGGGATTAATTTGGTCCATTGCTCTCAGCTATCAGTTTTAGAGGATATACAGCAATCCAGGGAACTATTATTGTCAACATTATTTTATGACTCTTTAGAGCTGCTCAGTATTTGTATTTTACAGATACACAAGCAGGGTGAGTGTATGGAGTGAAGTTAGTGTTTCATTATTGAAGGTAGTGGATTTTTCAAAGTTATTTTTATACAATTAAAAGTACTAAGAATTCTGACAGCCATTATAGCTATGAACCTTACACAGATGCCTGAATACAGGTATACAGACTTGAAATGTGCACAGGCGTTTCATCTGGCAAAGCACAAAACATTTCACAAAGTGTAGAAAACATTTGAAAAGTATTAAGTACTGTTATCACACCAACAGACTAATTATCACAGTGTTCATGTGAAACTTAGCTGTGCTTATTGCATACAGGAAGTTAAGGCAGAGAGGTATAACTCTTTTTCAAAAGCTAACTTATGGAGGCAGTCACGGGGCCAGGAACAAAACACAAGATCTCTACTGTCATGTTCTACTTTTCTGTTTTATCCAAACCTAAATTGTTTCTGTAATTTTCAAGATAATCTGAGGAAAGCTTCAGGTAGTAAATCTGAAATGGTAGATAGTGAATCTGCATCTGCACGTAAATCATATATTGTAGTTCATGTCAGAAGGTGTATACAGCTACCTGAATCTTTAGGACACATGTACGATGGTTGAATTAAGTTATTTAAGTTTAAACTCTGCAACAGTTGTGCTAACCACCAGTTCTATTGAAGGTCTGTACACTGGAGAGTGAGTGGTTGTAAACAATATTACTTGTCATTCATAAGACAGCGAGCCTCTTTCCTGGTGTGGTAATTCAGGTTTGTGCTGATTTCTTGATCACAAAGTGGATACAAACTGGTCTGATCACCAAAGTGGGTACCCTCCCTGCACAGTGCTATGTGTTTTTCCATAGCAGTAGGATTAGTATATTGGCTTGTTTGTATTTATTCTCTTCTGTTCTGGAGGTATGTTTGGGCAGTGAAGGAAGGGTTTTGTCTTTGCAAACTATTAAAGTTTGAGTCACCCAGAGGAATGAATGAAATTGCTCTGACCTGTACCAGGTACAGAACCCCTACAGTACAGAACTAGCAGCAGGTCTGCTTTTACACTTCTCTGGATCTCTCTGTTCCTGTGCTCTCAGAGCATGTATTACAAGAACATTGATTTTTGCAGCATTAGGGGGATTTGGCTGAGTAAGAACTTGTCCATATTTCCTGACAACTGTGGGCATCTCCAAACTATGGGATCTTGGATTACTTCCCCATTCCCGTGTCCACGTTCTTTCTCAACTGATATGTGGAATCCACACTAAGGAATCCACACTTTTGAGGGTTCATCATCTTATATCTGTGTTCTGCTGCCATGGTTTCTGCTGAAGAAAGGCCAAGAACACAGGCCAGAAGCATCCCACGGTCTGCTGTAGCTGGTCTCTGACCTGAGCAACCAAGACAGCCGTGTGCTGCAACCGCACCTTCAGTCCTAAATAGTTTATCAGTCTGGCAGCTCCTGTGTGGATATATAGCTCCTGTGTGGATACATAGCCAGACCCAGCTCTTCTCAAGTAGCTGAACTCGAAGCATCTCCAGAGCAAGGGTGACATAGCTGAAAGCAGTAAGCATTTCCCTCAGCTAAAATGATTCATTAGTGTTGAAATAATGCAAGTGAGCCTTTTAAAATTTGAGGACAATGGGCCTTATCCTGGAAGAGATTTGAGGAATTTGTGTTGATTCCAGTACAAAAAACTGTACTCATACAAGTAAAGGTTTGTTGGCTGGCCCTCCCATTTTTGTTAGCTATATTTTATTGCTGTAATTACACCTAGTGGCTTATCTAAGAGAGTCATGTTCTTATAAAGAAATTAGGACAATTAATGCTACTTTTAACAAGAGTGAAATAATAAGTAAAATTGAACTGAAATTTGACCACGCTCTTCTTTTTTTTTTTTTTTCTAGTATCCGAATTACAGGAAGAAGGAATAAATGCCATTAATTTACCTCTCAGTCCAATTCCATTCGAACTAGACCCTGAGGACACTATGCTAGGTAATTTACAACAATTTTACATCTCAACATAAAAGCTTGATGTAAAATAAAGTGTCATGCCCGTAATAGTTTTAATATCTTTCTTTTAAACCTTCCAGAGGAAAATGAAGTCCGAACAATGGTTGATCCAAATTCAAGAAATGACCCAAAATTACAAGAACTAATGAAGGTAATGAAAAGCATGTAAACGCTTTCAGGAAAGTGAAGCTATTTTTAATGCTCTCCCTGGCTCTTTCATTTGAACGCGTCAAAATACTGTTTAGATACTAATTAAATAAAACCACGTGGTGCGTACACCCCAGTGAAATGGGCAGGTCATTTGTTGTGGTATCTTTCTCGAGATGTGACGAAGAGAGACTTAAGAATTTGGATTAAAATCCTGAGTCCAGATTCTTCGGCCCATCTCACCACCAATCTAAGATCACACCGACTTACCTCATAGTCTTTCTGATTCTTGGGGTTAGAACTTTAGCAGGAAGATTCATTAGAATCAACTTCAACACCTTTTGCTTCATAATAAAATGTTGAAATAGCACTGAAAGCAAAGGACAGATTTCACTCCAGAAGGCACTACATCAGTCTGGTATTTGTCTAGACCTTGTGGTGCATTGACACAGCCACCTTAGAAAAGTCCTTCCTAAATCCTTCGTATTTTCTTCTGATGGCATTTCAGACTGATTGTATTTTGAGCCATTGCAGCTTTGGTATTCTTCCTGCTAAATATTTTCATCATTGTACAAGATGACATGTGTTTTAAATTGCAAATGAATAGTGTATAATACTGCCAAATTTGTGTTTCCCATATAGGTATTAATTGACTGGATTAATGATGTGTTGGTAGGAGAGAGGATTATTGTGAAAGACTTGGCTGAAGACCTGTATGATGGACAAGTATTGCAGAAATTATTTGGTAAGAAAAAATATATGTGCATGCCGTTGGGGCACTTTGTCAGTAAGTGGATCACTTGTTCCTACTTAGGAGCCTTGGTATCATCTTACATTTATGCCACTAAGTGATATAAAAATAGCATTGTATTATGAGACCCTTGAGCAATAGGCTGTATGCACAATCCTTATAGCTACAGTGCGATGTGTGGTGCTCTGTAGTTGATGAGAACAGCATAAAGCCTACCTGGGGTGCTAGAGAGGGAGGGTTCTTGTCTTGGCAACAATATTCACTCCAATTAAATTTATTATCTGCATATGTGCTGTACAAACTTAACCGTGTTACAAGTGGAAAGTAAGCTTGAAGGCAAGGGTATTTTCAGTACAACGGTGGATGTTTTTAATCTCTGCTGATTCCATACTATAGTTTATTCACATCGCGAAGTTCCTCTGGAAAGTTGGAATTTCTTTCTAATTTGATGTCTGGCTTTTAATGTTACTAAGGTAATGGTACCCAGTGGACTGCAAACTGAGCTTCAGCTGAGAAACAGATAGAGAAAAGAAACTGCTAATGCAGAGCTGGCATGTGCTTTTTTAACTCTTGGCTTGGAAGCCATTTTCGTAGTTATTACAGCTCATAAAGTCTCCAGTAAATTTCTTTTCAGTATCTTAAATGAATCTTGAAACTTCATGTGAGCACTTCTAATAAAGACTACACAGACTATGCCCTTCTATGAATGGTTAAGCTATTGAATATATTGTGATGGACTGGATATGCTCCAGACTGAGCAATTTGATTCTCGTGGGCAGACCTCCAGTGACTTCACTCAAAACCCAAAAAATGCATATCAGATACAGTCTGAGTCTAAATATGCATATAGTGATCCAGTACTTACTGATTTCAGTGGAATCTTTTCCTTTACCCTTAATTCCTTATGGATCAGGTCTGTGCTAACTACAGACTTTGGTCTTGATGTGAGGCTATGTCCAGACTGATTTCTGTGGAAATACAAGAAACCCATGGAGACAGCAGTCTCTTAGGCAGGACTCATAGGCACACTCTCTTTGGGAAGATATTCAGTTGGGTGTGATGAGAACAAGGTCAGCTCTTCCAAGCTTAGTAAGATACTCTTTCTTAGAAGTAAATTGGTAGGCAACCAAGCATTTTGTTTGTGGTGATGTTATCAGGGAGTTTTTACTGCTAAATTTTCTTTGCTTACTATTCAATGGTAAACACTAAGCTGTGTATGTATACACCTAGCAATCTGTACTAATTATTAACAAACCAATTCATAAAGTATTTTAAAATCTACTGCAAATTTTGAGTGCAGAAATGGGCTGTGGTTTCACAGAAACATGTTGCTGAAGGTTTTACTTGGTTTCATACCTCCAGAAATACTTGTTAACATTTCTTGGGTACATCCTCTGCCTCTGTGAATACGGTGTCAGTTCACTTTTATCGCGAATGGGCCAAGTAAAATTTTCAAATCTCTTGAGTCTGAGGGAGAAGCTGGGAGGCTGAGACTGATGAAACAAATCTTCTTAAAGTTGGTATCTGTTTCCTAGGTTTGATGCCTGCTGTACAAGCCACTTGCATATAGAATACCCTTTATCCAGTAGCAATAGAAGTAATGGGCCTTACATCAGAGTCTGGTGTTCCCTAAAGGGAGTTGTAGCAAATATTTGTTAGCCAGTAGTGTGGCTTTCATTAATACTTCGCTTTCCCCTTGGCAATGGGTAAATAAAGGGAAAATGTGAACTGTATCTTTAGGAGTTCAGAAGTGTGGGGGAAGGTGGCTCTGGAAGGAAAGCAATTTTAGAACTAGGAAGTCTAATATCTCTTGAATGTACATCTGGGTGCACAGAATGTCTGTGTTCTTCATGGAGTTGACAATGGTTTTCTTCTCTTTTTTCATCTATTATCACTTCAGAGAAACTTGAAAGTGAGAAGCTGAATGTTGCTGAAGTTACTCAGTCTGAAATTGCTCAGAAACAGAAGCTACAGACAGTGCTTGAAAAGATCAATGAAACCCTTAAACTCCCTCCAAGAAACATTAAATGGAACGTTGACTGTAAGTTGTGTGTTTTCTATGCTGTTCTCATTTGTTGATAGCCAAGAGTTTATAGCTGCTATTTGGAATTCTAAAATATCCAGTGATAAGGGAAGGCTGAAACTTGGTATTTATGGTAGGAGTTCCTCTGCGGGGCACTTCCAGATGTGGTACGCTCTATGCTCTTTACTGGTGCTCAACCTCCAATTTAAATAAACTGTCCTTTCAGAGTCTGTCAAAGTATAGTATTGCTGCTCTTAAGTCCATATGCATACCAGCTTAAGTTTTCTGGTACTAAATTGGTTTGTTGGAATGGGCAAGTACCTCCATAAATGTAGTAGACAGTCAGAAGGAGAGTTAGGTCCTAGAACTCTTTATTTGTGTAAAATTTTGCAACATAAATATGAATAATATTTCTGATCGTTTAAGGCTAAGTCTGAACTACTGATTTTGATTACAAAACTTTCCTTAAGATTAGGATTACACCCTTCCTGTTCTAGTGTATTAAAAATGAACATAGTAAGATCTAAGGGAAATGCCCTCACTGGCCCAGCACAAGACATTTCAGTGCATATAGAATCATAGAATGGTTTGGGTTG